GAGCTAATCGCAACTTCAGTCTCTCCAAAACCGAACAATTGGTACCAGCTCTGCCTGAGAGGACAAAAGCACTGAATCATTCATCAGCTGACCCTATCATTCACTGTTGGACAAGATCGCATCCAAAATGCAACCGCGATTCTGAATAGAAATAGAGTGCGTGGCGCATCTAGGGTGGTTTCGATCAACGCCGAATTCTTCATGCTTTGTGTTCCAACTGTGGAAACATATATCGCATTGATGAAGGTGGCCGCTTTGGGCATTTGAACTAGCCCACGTCAGCAGAACCATTTCTTGTTCTCCTCAGAGCCAGCCAATTGTACCAGATTTGTGCGTGACACATCCTACGGGAACAACCTCATCCATATTAGCTCAACTGTCTAGGCTATGGAATGGCGAGCAAGACATAGAAGTCGACTTGCCACAGCACCTTCGCTTCTAGTCATTGAAAAGAAAAGAAGCACCTACAGTACCTTCTTAACTCAACAGAAATAATTGTTGTCAGCCGAATTGTCGTTACCAAACCATGAACTATTTTGAATGATTCACCTGCTTGAAATAAGGGTGTGTTTATATGTTTATGCTGCTGTTGTATGCTGTTTATGCTCCGGAGGTTTAAAGATGAGGAAAACATCGTCTGAATAAAAAGCTTGTTTCCTGGAAGTTTTTCCCATTTTCTTGCAATCATTCGCAACTTCACCAACATAAGTTGGATCGCATTTAAAAAAATTCGTCTCGCTGTGTTCACTTTAGTTATGGGACACTAGCGAAAGCTTCCTCTATCTGCGTAAATTTGAGCAACATCTCGCGCCAATTTGCCACAACGAACGGTACTTGGGACAAAGCAGCGACGTCAGGCCGATTTTTAAAGTTTACATTACCCTGCCGAGTCCGTTGCCCTTCCTCCTATCCACCTTTCATGGTTGGTGGGTATAAATAATGCCGTTGAAGCCAGTACCTGTTTCAATGTGACCCGCTTCCAACCCCTCCTCCTCTAGGTGAGTTGAGCATTAAAAAATGTTATAAAAATTTGAAATTTCTCTGGAATCCAAACCTAATTTCAATCTTCTCAAAAATCCTCCATTTTCACATGTTACAGGAAGAAAAATTCCGACCAACATCCTCTGAATGGGATCCAAGCACTGGAAACAACACAAAACACGATCTACCAGCAGTGCTCTTGCAAAGTGGACCGTCGATCTTGGCACAGAGCATAAAGGGATCTGATTACACACTCGCTAATGCTCATTATGAAAAAATATACAAAAAACTTAAAGACGTACCATACATTCCATTCGACTTCTATTCTACCGTGAAAATACCAAAAATGAGATTATTCAAAAAAGATGAGGAGCAGAGTTATGTCTCGAGAGCAGGACTTTGAATCAGTGCTTAGGGTACTTATCAGTGGATCGCCCTCCACCCTACCGGAAGTATAGAACTCTTAGCTCAAACAGGGTCAACGCTTCCAAAGATTTGCCGACCCCCCTTCTTGGAGGAGCAGGCTGTACGACCCCCACCACTACCGCCAGACTTTGTGAACTCCCTCTCCCTACAACCTCACCATCATTGTTTCTATAATATTTATTTGATTTTGCGGGAAGGGGGGGGGGGTGGTATGGTTTAGAATGTGTAATGCAAGGCTGCTAATCATTCTAAAGTTTTGCCTATTTCCAGCATTTTCTTTCTTCAAAATTTTTGCATCATCATCTTGTAAATAAAACAACTTCCCGCAACTACGACTCCGTCAGTTTCTACGTATACGAACCGCTCCAAAAAAAACTTAAACAAATTTCCCCGTTGAGAACTGCGCAGCGCACCAATGACCTCGTCTCAGAAGTATTCCCACAAGATCTTCCAGACAATGGTTTAGCAACATCACAACAACCATAAAACCAGTTTCCTTCTCAGAACTAGAAGTGGCGGCACGGCATGTATCTTCATTGTTTTTCACATCGTTGTTTTTGGGTAGGCAATATTGTAGCAATTCGAACTGTCGAAGCTGGCATAACCCAATGGATTCAATAATTTTCCATCAAGGCAGCTGAGGGAATAATAGCATCCTTTAGAATCAATAAATTTATTCATAACCAAACAGATAAACTCAGAAAAACGAGTAGAACACAATCAATACGTAAAAATACGCAAGGTTAGTTGATAAAAATTATTACGACGTGTGCAAAATTGAGCGGCAAAAAGGAAGCAGATTCTCCAACAAGGTCGAGTACTATTCTCTACGTGGACGTCTAAACTTGAGACCGTTAGCCAATGGTTTACGCTCACTGTCGCTATCCTCATCTTCAGAACTCCTCTTCGGTGCTTTTCGCTTGTACGTCATTTTCTTTCCATTCTGCTGAAAAACGTGAGAGGTTTAACCAGACTCGAAATCAAATATTCTGATTGTTTATCGCACTAGAATGAACCAGCATGCAAACTTCATTCAGAAAAAAGTAGCTGATTACATACTAAACATAGGAATGTGAAAAAGGAAATATTGTCGAGATCATAACTCTCAGAAGCTCAGCTCCCACTTTGTCCCAATACATCTTCCCAGAAGTATTGTTGTAGGCGGAGTTTGCAATGAAAGGCAGCCGATTGAAATAAAGGAAGAGACGGTCAGTGATACATGGGATAAAGAAAAAATCGAGTACGGCTTAGAGTCCTGAAAAGAGGGACCCTTTTCTGTTTGCTGATCCGTGCGTTGGGCGATTCTTCTCGTCCACGCTAACGCTCTCCCTGCTAGAGCGGCTGGAGCCAATCTGCGAGAGGTCAGCGCATCAGTGGGAGTGCAGCAGCCGCGCGGGTATGGCTCTGCTATTCCACTGGAGGCATGCTATTCCCGCAAGTACGCATCGTTCCACACCCTTATGAGAGGAGGCGCCTGCCCTACAGCCAAGTATATTCCCATTCTTCGACCTCACCTGTGGAATCCTTTCTTTAAAGGATTTCCAGTAAAGTTGAGGCGGATAATGCCATGACTGAAGCCGTCCCTTTACACTTTCACAGCTTGTGAGATCCGCTTCTGAGCGTAAGGCTACCCTTAGAAAGTTGTGATGACCACTATGGAGCTTTTCAGAAAGAATAATCTGCCAGAAACTGCTGTTTGCCTAGCTTCCTCTTCCTAAAATTACATTGGGAGAACATTTCATTCACTCCCTGAGTAACTTGTCTCCTGGAGGATCTTCTTCTTC